AAAAAAAAAAAAAAAAAAAAAAAAAAAAAAAAAAAAAACAAGCTATCTACAAAACAAAGAAAAGACTAGAAAAAACTAAGTGTTTCGAGAAAAAAAGAAAGATACTCATACTACTATCAAACAACAAAAAGTATTGATGATTTGAAAAATTCCATATCGAACACCAAAGATCCCAAAACTCTTCCGAGAAACGGTATGTGAACAAGCATACCGTGATCGTCCTCGTGTAGTGCAGCGTTATAGCGTTAGCACGTATGGGAGGAGTTGAAATGACGGAAACAATTTTGTAACATTTTATCCTTACAACAATTTGCAATTACGCTTCTTTTGAATAGCTAAATGAAACATTGTCAACATTTATTATTAAATATCTTTCCATGCACGTATAACACACGTATACGTATGACATGCATATTAGCAACAATATATCACATTTGTAAGCTAAGTAATATGCTATGGTCATTTACGTAGAAACGCTCGTAAGTATAGAAATGTTAATAAAATAATATGCTCTTATCATTTACGTAGAAACTGTTAAAAGATGTTAATAAACTAATAAGCTATTTATAGCACATACAAAAAGATGATTTGAGCTGATTGATTTATTAATACATATATGAAAAGTAATTGTAAGGTGTCATTTGTGAAATTATCATTGTTCTATTGCAATATAAATATTACCGATAAAATGCTATTATCACATTGTTATCAGCGTTTGAAAATCTAAATATTGTCAGTAAGATTTTTATCACATTTGTGTGTAAGTTGTGAAAATTTTGTTTGATTTTATGCAAAAAATCCAATATAAAAAATTCATCCTAAAATTGAATATATCGTAATGTACAAACTTTTTGTCCTTTAATTTTATGGAGATATCATTAAAACCGCTATTCGAAATGGGTTATTAATTAAAAGTTTTCAAGTATAAGAAATTTTAATTAAAATTGTGGATGTCCTTGTGCTCTATCAAAAGGAAATTTTCTTCGATTCGTCAAAATGTGTATTTTTAAGAAATGAAATATAAAGCGCGATATCAGAACGGAAATTTTAAATGGAAAATAAAATATGAAATGATTTTGGAGTGAGAGATTTGTAGTCTCAAACATTGCA